AGCTGAGTCAGTTTTGGTATGCTCCTGAAACGGCTAGGCAGCTTTGTCGCGAACTTATTGATGCCGTTGGAGGAAATGGTCAAATAGCATGTATATCATGCCCTACTTTGATGCAATATTTCGCCGATATCGATGTGAGTTTCTTTCGAAAAATGTTTTGCTTTTTTCCAAATACTATCATGCTTTTGATTCTGTATCCTAGTAGTATCTTTTCTCATTTTCATCTACATCTTTAGGGTTATGGAAAGGACAAAATCACAGTCAGATTGCTTGAATATGACCATCGTTTCGAGAAGAAATTTCCTCTGGAATATGTACCGTATGACTACAGACATCCCTTGGCTATCCCCGAGGAATTGAAAGGTTCGTTTATTTTGCTTTCGAGCATGCTACTTATTGGTGTTTAGGTGTCTTCGACGTTATTATTGCCGATCCTCCTTTTCTCGCTGATGAATGCTTGGTAAAAACAGCGCAAACCGTGCGCTTGCTAGCGAGACCGAATGCCAAAATCATTCTGTGCACGGGAGCGATCATGGAAAAGATGGTCTGTTTATTTCTTTTTCTTTCGACCGATCATTTGACTTTGGTTTCTAGGCGGACCGTTTGCTTGGGCTTCATCGATTGAAATTTGAACCTCAACATGCTAATAATCTTTCCAATGAATTTTCTTGTTTTGCTAATTACGATACGAAATATTTATGATCTATGCCAGATACTGCCACTTTAATACTTTTGCGCTGCGTACAGTGTGTATATACCCGGTTTTCTGCTCAGGTAACGTTCACAGCCTTTACAGAGCTTATGAATATTCTTTGCAAACGTTGTTATATCTTGTTGATTTTGCCCAATAAAGAATTTTTCAAGATTTTGCTTGAGTGCAAAGGTTTGCTCCATATTATCTTCCAAGTTTTGTTTTCATTTGTTGCCCTCCTGCCTCATGTATACTTCTTATTATCACGACTTATTTAGAATTAACCTGATGTGAAGATCAAGAAATAACAAACAGATTCACTTCTTTTCGGCCACAATTGCCTGTATACCGTGTATACACCCAGTTACCTTAACCCTTTTTGGCCCTTTCTTAATCTCTCATGGCACCTGCTGGTCAGGGTCTAACCTGGTCGGACGTACTTTGTTGTGTGGTATGTAACCAGGTAAGACGCTTGTTTCTTTTTACCCCTTGGTTAAATTATATTTGATTTACAGCTATTCGATCATCACCGAGCCCCGGTAAATCTAATATGTGGGCACGTGGTTTGTACTCGATGTGTACCACAGCTGTATAATAACTCATGCCCAGAAGACCAGGTATGACTTCAACACGTCGTACATGTATCGTTTCTCCTTATTCGCTTTTCCTGCTTTGTTCCATGCACTAGAATTTTTACTCTGCGTTGATATTTAGTGTGAGGCTAGCTTTCCTGTGTCGACTTATCCGATTAATGCTGCTCTCCTTTCAATTGTGACAGATGACGTTGATGAATATCTACCACTTTGGAAGGTAGAGGATGTTCCAAAGGTATGTTGAACCCGGTGTCCTTTCCATAGACTTGAAAGACATCCAATACGATATATATTGTTCTTACATTAAAGAAGAGGCAATCTGATACCGTTTTTTTTTTGAAAATCCTATCATATGCTTGCAGGAAATATTGTCATCTATAGAGAATGCATTAGTTTCGATGGCTCAGTATCTTCATCGCGCTGAGTCGGAGAGAGGTGGTACGGTATTTAGCGAGGTGAATAAATCTGAGCTATTTTTTTTCAACATGTGGTCTCTTCTTTAACTGCTGAAAGAAAAATTATTGACTTCTGTGCATTTTATTTTGAAACTCTGTTTTCACGATCTCATTTAAAAATGATTCTGCTATCGAACTATCAGCTGCT